ACCGAGGTAGGGATGCTCATCTTTTTCGTTCTCTGTTACCTCTTTAACGTCTGGAACATGCCGGTCCATATAGGTTCCAAGTGATACTTTGCAAGCAAATAGCAAATGAATTTTAACCTCCCGTATAGCAAGATATTCTTTCCAAAATTTTGCAAACTCTAAAAGGAATTCAGAACACTGAAAATTGATACAAAGGCAGGGTCTCCTCCCAGGTGCTATTGGAAACGAGGGGGGAGGGGTGTTTCTGACCAGAGACACAAAAGGTGAGAATAATTTCCCAAATTCAGATTAGCAGCTGATACAGGAACTGTGGAGAGTAAGATTAGACGGAGAAGCAACAGAAGATGGTAACAGATGAGTCTGTGAACAGCAGTCTGTGGAGACAAGATCGCTCCCTGGGAGGTGAAGCTCGCAAAGTAGGCTGGGCTGGGCAATGAAGTCCCAGGGATCCATCTGTCTCCACCTCTCTGATGCTAGAGTTACAAGCCGGAACCACAGAATCCAGCTTTGTTTTGTTTTTGTTTTTGATGTGATGCTAGGGATCAAATTCAGGTCCAAGTGCTGATTTTTTCTCCCCCTTTTGGTTTTTAAAAATGGGGTTTCTCCATGTAACAGCCCTGGCTGTCCTGGGATTTGCTCTGTAGGCCAGGCGCTGGCCTTGAACTTATAGAGACCTGCCACCCTGCTTCTGCATGCTTCTGTAGCAAGCCCTTTGTCAACCAGGCTTTGTTCACAGGCCCTGAATGTGACTTTCGATCTAGGATGTAGATTCATTTTTCTATAGCCTCCTTTATTGCCAATGTCTCACACTGAGGCCATTCATTCATATGGTACCTGTTTGTTCTCCTAAATAGAGTGGTTACTTTCCAGTTTGAGTATCACAGAGAGAAAGTAATCATACCAATTAAAATATGAAGAGATGAAAATGATAGCTCATGCCAATGAAGAGACAGGCCCCAGGTGGATAACATAAAAGGTGCTAAAATAGCACTAAACATTATGGCATTGTTGATATTGCAGAGATTTATAAAACAAGATGGGCTTCTGTCCAGCGGTTAGTGTGCAGAATATGTAAAGAACTTAAAAAACAAAATAAGCCATCCGGGAGGTGGTGGCAAACGCCTTTAGTCCCAGCGCTCAGAATGCAGAGGTTGGCGCATCTCTGTGAATTCAAGGCCAGCCTCGTCTACGGAGCAAGTTCCAGGATAGACTCCAAGCTATGAAGAACCCTGTCTCAAAAAATAAAAATAAAAAAATGAGCAACCCAATGAAAAGTGAGGGTAAGGGTTAATTCATGTAGGTGGGCATTTCTCAAAAGAATGTACACAAATTATGAACAGATAGGTGGGAAAAATTCAATATCACTTATTGTGAGGGAAATAGCAAACAGAACCAGAGATAGCACCTCACCCAGTAAAAAGAGTCTTTATCAAAAAAGATAAAGAGAACAAACAGGTACCGCGAAGGCCTGGAAGAAAGAGGACGTTGCATAGCGTGGGTAGGAATGTCAATAAGACATTATGCAAAACAGTGTGGTGGGCCCATCAGAAAGCTGGAAAGAGAATCACAAAATGGTCCCATAATTCCACTGCTACATCGGTAACCAAGGGAAATTGTTGGGAGCAGTGAGGCCCCCAGATCCTGAATTTCTTGTAATCCCCTGATCTGAGTGCCTACAGCTGCTCTGAGCTCGAGACCTTCAGGAGTTCCTGATGGCAGGAGAGTGGTTTCTGGCGGGTTTGGCTGGGCCGTGGCTATCTCTATATAATCTGCCCCTGAATACAATAAAGGGGGCATTCTTGGGGAATTCAAGGATGACCCGTGTTGCTGTCTCTCTGTCTGTCTGTGTCTGCGTATTTTAACCTCCAGTTCCCTTGCCCGAAGCTGGCAAACTGGGTGCCAGCGCACAGAGCGCAGACACAGGGGCATGGTGCGCGGCAGGAAATAAACCAGCGTGTCAAAGAGGCACCTTCACTCCTGTGCTCACTACGACACTGCTCAGAAGAGCCGAGAAATCAGAAACCACGTGCACTATGAAATGCAACTCAGCCATCCATATAATGACATCTGGTCGTTTGCAACTGCATAGGTGAGAACAGAGATCACTGTGGTAAGCGAAATAAACCAGACACAGAAGGATAAGTACCACACAACTCAACTATGGAATGTTTAGCCAGGCATGGTGACAAACCCTGTAAACCACTGAGCCAGGAGAACCAGTGGTTCAAGGTCAGCCTGTGTCTCCAAAAGTTGAAAAAGAAAAAGTTAATCTCATTTCATTTGAGTGGAGTGGTGAAGCCTTGTCACTATTTCAGACACACACAATTTACACATGTGGAAACCCAGCCAATAACTCCAAGAGGTCAGCCTTCAGGCATGGCTTAGGGAATTTAGAAAACAGGCTGGTAACAGAAAAGATTTTATGACTGAAGAATAGAAGTCAGTCCAAGAAAAGGAGAGAGCAGCCTCCAGTTGAGACACTGTCCTGATTGAAGGGCAAGGTGGGTGCACACACATGTATTGGAAGACAGAATTCCTGCCTTTATACCAAGCGCCAATGGGAAGCACTGTAAGGTGAGGACATTTTTCAAATGAAGAATTAGCATGCATGAAGGGATGGCAAGATTTTGCTTCTGATTTGCAAAGTTACTTGTATAAATCCTCCCAAATGAGGACTATTTAGCTTAGGATAGAATAAGCACTCTTAGAAGACCCGAATCATGTGGAAAAAGAGTTGATAATTGTCCACACCTTCCTCTGTGCTAATCGTTCATTTGTTGTTACTCAACTCCAAATCTAACTCTCTGGCCTTTGCCTTTTAACATGCTGGACCACACCAGAGCTGTCCTGGACTTTCCATGAGACCCTGTCAATCGGAGCCTTGGGGTGTGAAGGCAAGTGGGAGGAAGGGGACGCATCTTTCTGTTTGGTGCACTTCCTGCAAGTGTTGTCCCAGCAGTCGGAGCTGACCCCAGTTTTCAGAGACCCCAGAATCAGCCTTCCCATGCCCCTCCAAGAGCCAGCATCAGGCTGGTGATGCCAGAGAGAGCTTCATTCAGTCATCCTCAGAGCAACAGGGCTCTCCTAACTCCACCTCTTGACTTCTGTTTTCTCAGGCCTTCACTGGTAATTGATTTCTTTGTCATTTCTTTTTCTCTAAAGCTAACTTCAAATCACATAAATCAGTTTAAAGTCCACAGCTCAGAGAACAGGCATCATCACACATGCCTTTAATCCCAGCACCCAGTGGGTAGATGCCTGTGGATCTCTGCAAACTAAAGGACAGCCTGGTCTACATAGTGAGTTCTAGACCAGCCAGGGCTATAAGAGAGACCCTGTCTTAAAAAACAAATCATACAAACAAGCCAAAACCATAGCTTATTGGTGATTAGCATGTCTACAATGTTATGTGACCTTTACCACTGTCTAAATACATGAGCAATGTATGTGTTTGTACCTGTGTCTGCATGTGTTTGTGAATGCAGGTACATGAAGATACATGTTTTATTTCTGAATCTAATTCTACCTGTTGAAAGCTCTGAGTTTCTTCTAACTTTTGAAGAGTCAAAACTTCTAATCCCAGCAGAGAATTTATTCTAGAATTCTCCTTCTCTGTTTTACTTTCCTCTCTTACAGTGAGAAGCCTGCCGCTGCCTCACTTTGTGGCAATGACTTGCTGGCCTCTGTTTCTCTCATCCACTAGCTTGGACTTATTTTCCAAACCCAATGAGTCGCCATCCCTATTTGTCCATCATCTCTAAATGGCCAGAAAACTACCACGACCCATAACCTCTTTTAAATCATGTCATTACAACAATAAGAATATAGATTAAAATGTTTACTGTGCAGAAAATGCTCCAAACATTGCACTATAGCAAGCTCTGACCATGTCTCCCAGCAATTTTGAGGAACTGGATGGGAGTTTGTCTATGCCTGGGAAACTGTCTTCCCTAAGCAAAGCTGACTTTATGGCTTTAAATTCTTGTGTTGTACAATTACATGACATGAGCAAACATGCTTTATTCAATGATTCCTGATGACACAAAAGAGAGAGATAGCCACCATTTCCTTTTGATGGTGTCCCTCACCCCAAGCCCCCCAAAACACACACACTTTGTAGAAACAATAAAATGCTTCTCTCTAAAGAGATATGACTTTTTCTCAAGACCCAAGATTAGAAAGGAAAAGAAGGTGTATGGATTTGTGGGCCACTTAGCATCATCATCTGACCATTAAAAGTTTTGTAGGAAAGTTTGACTTGATGTTGACAGGAAAACCACTTTTGGGGGTTCTTGACTATAGTTTCTAGAATATACTGGAAGAACCTCTCAGCTCTCAGAAACTGTTCCTTCCTCTTTCACAGATACATTCCAGCCAGAGAATCCAACATATGCAATCATTAATGTGTGCCCAGGTGTTTTTGCAACTAGTTTTCAAGAATAACCCTACAATTTGGATCTCGAATGCCATCCCCTGAAAAGCCCATGTATGAAAGGCTTAATCCTCGGCTTGGCATTACTGAGAGGTGGTTGAAATATTTAAGACAAAAGGCCTAATAGGAGGGTGTATAGGACTTGCCCTCAGAGGGGATAGTGAAGCTCCGGTCTCCTCCTCTTTCCCTCCCTGCACATTCTGGCCACGTGGTCAACAGTTTGCTTTACCATGACGCACTTCTGCCTTGCTTTGCTGCACAAATTGATGCATCGTGAATTGGCATCTCCAACACCATGAGCCAAAGTGAACCTTTCCTCTTTTTAAATTTGATGGCCTTAGGTATTTTATTGTAGTATTGGAAAGCCAGTAACATGGGGAAAGGTCCTGACTGAAGTCATTTGTCCGGGTTTTTTTTTTTTTGTACTGATTATCCTAACAATAGTTCCTGTCTAACTATCCACATGACATCACTTCAGTAGGTGACAGAATGAGCTATATACAGCTGGCTCTCAAAAGCTGTCTCTGACCGGGATGCTTATGCGTATCTATGAATGACTTATACTCACCTAGGGCTTCAGCAATGTGTTCAGACTGCCACAGCTTGAAGCAGGAGGGTGGTTCATACCAAAGAGATAAGGATCCGAGAAGTTAGGCTAGAGTCCTCAATTCCAGGTGTTCACATGCTGAGTCCAGGGAAGCCCTAAATCCACCATACACGGAGGGCTTATTGCTGGAGAAAAGCAGGATAGGAAGAGAATGAGTAGACGAAAACACAAGTCAAAGCCAATCTCCTTGCTAAGGTCCAGGAGACTAAATGCCTTCTCTTTCTCCAAGTCTGCTCTACCAGGTCAGAGACGTGAACTCCAAAAGAGTTTACATTGGCTTTACACTGAGTTAGCTGTAGGCAGGGCCTGGATGCTCTCTGAGATGAAGCTCTGCTGACCCCCACTGGCTTCTAACATGCATTGCATCTCTAGATGACCCAATCGCAGTATGTAACTTTTTTCCAGCCAAAGGACGGGATCTACCTGGTGCACACATCTCTACTTTTGTTGTTGTTGCTGTTGTTGCTGCTGCTGCTGCCTCCTCCGGGGTGGTAGATAATTCTACTGCCACTATATGGTGGATAGAATTTGTTTGCACAGAAAATGAGCCTAGAGCAAGTTTGAAGGTTTTATGTGAGGGGTTGTTTTCCATTGTTCACTCTCTGGTTCTTTTGCTGGTAAAACACCAGGCCCCTGAAGATTTCGGTGCCAGACATGGAATTTTGCCCACCAAGTTATTGGTCAGGGAGGCCATGGAGGTACCCAAAACAGCAAAGCTATTGCCATTGATGTTGGTTGCTAATATTGGATAGAAAAGCTCTGGGGCTGAAGACACCACCCACTTTTGTTACAAAATCAATCTCAAAACTGATCAGAATATTCTCTCCCTGATGGCGAGCTTTCACAGTGCAGGAGGTTGGTGTTGTCCAGGAGGCTAGGGGAGAGAAAACACAATCAGTGGTCTTACCCAGGGCTGGACCCTGCACGCTACAATAACAATCTGCCAGCAAATTGTGCCCACTGGGACAGTAGTGGCACAGAGGTTATGGGGTAACCAGACACTTTCTGTTTGAATTTGAGACCTGTCCCATTGGAGGGATTTCATGGCTGGTACTGAAGCCTATTCAAAAGCCTAGATCTGGGGGGATCAGAGTTTCTAGAGGTAGAGGGGTACTTACCGGTGTTTCTCTACATGGCCACGTGTCAAGCTGCCTTTTCATTATGTATGTTTATACTCATAGATTTGTGCTGCTCTCAGAGAAGCCAGAGAAGTTTCTCTTTTTGCAGTGGGTAATAATTGATTCAAAGACTCAAACCTGGTCAAAGTGCTGAGACCTGGTGACTCTAAGAGTTCAGTGGTAGATGGAGCGTCTAGACCAGCCTTACCCACCCCCTTCAATGCAGCAATTCTGGCTGCCTACACAAGACCCATCCAAGATCAAGCCTGTTAAAATTCCAGCATGGACACAGAGGGGCTTACAAGGGCACCTTCCTAAAATAGGAGCTACTGACAGTGGGTGGTTGTCGAGGGACAGAGTCACTTTGTGTAAGGAATGTGGTCAACAACATGTTGTCCATTCCCTAGCTCATGTCTGCATTCTTGGCACAAATTGAACTCAGGGAATTATTAGTTATTATTCATAATAAAAGATGGCATGAAACTGGGAGGAAGATGGGTTGGTAGTATCCTGAGGGAGTTTGAGAGAGGTGGTAAGGAGTGGCTATAATTACGATGCATTGGACACACGTTCACATTTTTCAAAGATTAATAATCTATGTCCTTCTGCCACCTATTCTGTGTCACAGTCGCCGATGGCATGTGCTCTCTTGGGCTGTCCATGGTGAAGCAAAAACACCAAACATAGCAACCGAACAGGCCAGGGCTGGGCCCTGGAGCTCCAGAAGGAGCTAAAGCAATGAAGTCCGAAACCACAGAGTCCTGCAGAGAGCTAGGATGGTCCACCTATGGGTGTGCTCAGCATCTGACTCCGTTCATCCATTCTGGTATCCCTAAGGCGTTTCTCACCCTAGTTTTCTGCACTGGTTAACCTCAGTTCTCCTGCCTCTGCCTCCTAAGTGCTGGGGTCACCCACATCACATCTATTATCTTTTACCATTTCCCATTATGACCTGACTAAGATGCTTCTTTACTGAACAAGGATCTTCTTGCATCTCTAGGTGTCAGTTTTCAGCCACAAAATCCAGGCTTCCTTCTTAAGAACCACTTTCTGCTCCTGTTTTTCACCGCCAGCCAGGAACCCCAGGGCACTGCTCAGACAAAGTGTGGGATTAGGCTACTCGGTGTGGGGAAAGAGGCATTGCTTTCTTAGAGAGGCGACATTTAACCCTCAGGCTTCCCAGTGCACACACAAAGGACTTGAGAATGCAACAAAGTCTCTGAGGGACACAGGTGCCCTCATCTTCATTGGGAGTAGAGAAGATATTTACAGCCACGTTCACCCCTGGCAGGAAGAGAGAAAGAAGTCTTGATCCTTTTGAGATAGAGAAACTAAAGAGAGAGGGGAAGGAAGGAAGGAAGGAAGGAAGGAAGGAAGGAAGG